TGGAGGGGGTGAAGGGCACACAGGTAATGGAGAAAAAAATAAGAACCAAGATATATCATGTACAGGTACAAACACCCAATGACAAATGTAAATGAATTGTATACCTAAAATGTACCAATAAAAGAACTAAAATAAAAAAGAAATGTGATTTCTTTGTATTATGTGTGTCACCTCAGTTGGCATCTTAGATCACCTCCCATTGGACACCACCGTGCCATAAACATGCAGCCTCAGACCCAACAAATTGCTTGCAATTCTTCTTTCGTACCCATTTTCTCTGTGTATGTGTGCTGTTCTTTCTTAACTGGAATATCCTTGCTCCTTTAAGACTCAGATGTTACTTCCTCCATTAAACCTGCTGTGGCCATAAGAATGAGTTAGTTACTCATTCCTCTGTTCTTTTGTAAGTATGTAGAATGTGCTGGTACATATCCCATTGTACTGTAGTTGTTTGCTGATGTTTTCCCCCATAGTCTCCATCACAGTGTTTGAAACATTGCAAACTGACAGTGACTGATACACCATACACATTGAAAACATACTGATATGACATACACATTGATAAAACATGCACACTGAACCAGGCATAGCAGTGCACGCCTATGATCTCAGCACTCTGGAAGCTGAGGCAGGAGGATCACTCTGAGTTCATGGCCACTGTAGGCTACATAATGAGTTTAAGCAAGATCTTGTCTCAAACAAAATGAAAAAAGACAAAAATTGACTCAGCTACAAAAAAAGGAATTTCGATGTTTTGTTCTTGTATTGTTGGGAATTGAAGCAAAAGCCTTGTGCAAGCTAAGCAAGCACTGAGAGCTACACTCTTAGCCTGACAAGTACAGTGGACTCTTGACTTTCAAACTCTGTCAGTTCCCGAGGGCTGGTTGTAACTAAGTCAGTACAGCTGAGATCTGGATGTTTACCTGGGTACTCGCTGCAGATAACAAGAGCCAGATGAGTCTTCCATTAATCTAATTAACCCAAGCTGTTTGTATTATCAGGCTGGTGGTAACTTGAGGGTCCACCACTATCCTTTTTTTTTTTTTGTACCAGGATTGAACTCAGAACCTTGTGCTTACAATGCAGGCACGGTGTCACTGAGCTAAATTCCCAACCCCATTGTACGATTTTTAATAGCAAAGTATCAGAAATGGCCTAAGGATACATCAGTAGGAATATGATTAAATAATGGATGGCACATATAATAAAATAGTTCCCAGGAAAGAGCTATACTAGCATAAATAGATCTCAAAAATATATTGAAAGAAAAAAAGTGTCTACTATTGTGGAGTACTATTTATGTAAAGAAAAATGCTTACATATACAGAAATATGTATTTGGGTTCATCATATATAGCTACTTAAAAAATAAAAATATGTTATATTTGTATAGTTATTAATCAGCCCATACTTTGGGGAAGGAATACATATCCTGTAGATCCTTTGATTTGAAATCCGGACACATAGCCCAGCTTCTGTTATGTAAACCAACTCTGCCCTTGATGTGTTCTTTGCAGATATGACCCCAAAACAAACCAATGGAGCAGTGACGTGGCCCCCACGAGCACCTGCAGGACGAGTGTGGGTGTGGCAGTACTCGGTGGTTTCCTCTATGCTGTCGGGGGCCAAGATGGTGTGTCTTGCCTCAATATTGTTGAGAGGTAAATTTTTCAAAACGTCATTTTCAGGTTTTCTGGTTTTTTGTTTGTTTATAAAAAAGACATGTTAGGTGCTCGCTTCGGCAGCACATATACTAAAAAAGACATGTTAGGCTCTATAAAAGAAACAATTATAGCTGAGTTTAGAACTTTAGGGGATCCACTATTCAGCAGATTTCCCATAGGCTTTCAGGAAAAAAGTTTTTACTTAATAGTAAAATCTAGAGAGATGAAAGATATAAAAATATTTTTTAAATTTTTTTTCTGCTTTTGTATTTTTTTCTTTAACACATTATTGGACAGATTAATTGATTTCACTGTGACATTTCCTCATATGCACATATCTTGGCAATTTACGTTTATGGTGAACAATATGACGTTTTGAAGTATGTCTGCCTTGTTGAATGGCTAAGTCAAGCTGATTAACATATATGCTCCCTCACATACCATTTTCTGTGGTGAATACACTTAAATTCTATTTTCATAGTAATTTACAAGTATACAATTTATTGTTATTATTTAACTATAGTCACCGTATTGTACATTAGAGCTTATTCCTAAAATTTTAGCCTGGCCCGTTGGTGCACACCTGTAATCTCAGCACTCAGAAGGCTGAGGCAAGAGCATCACCACAAGTTTGAGGCCAGCCTGGGCTACGTAGTGAGTTCAAGACCAGCCTGAACTGCATGGCAAAATCTTATCTCAAAAAAGAAAGGAAGGAAGGAAGGAAGGAAAGAAAGAAAGAAATTGTATATCCTCTGACTAGCATCTAATCCTCCCATCCTCCCACTTACCCTGTAGGTAGTAGACCTCATTCTACTGTCTGTTTCTATTTCTCCTTTGGATTTCACACATAAGTAAGATCATACAGTACTTGTTTTTTTGTGCCTGACTTATTTCACATGCCATAATGTCCTCCAGGTTCATCCATGTTGTCACAAATAAGATTTCTGTCTTTTTAAGGGTGAATAGTATTCATGTGTGTGTGTACACCTACCCCACATTTTTTTAACTATGGCAAATCTATGTTGCCAGTGTATCTTTAGTGTGATTTCAGACTTGTAGAAATGACTTCATTTAGTAAGAACATGCGTTCAGCCCAGTTTCTCTCCCTGCAGGTACGACCCGAAGGAAAACAAGTGGACTCGGGTGGCTTCTATGAGTACCAGAAGACTAGGTGTGGCGGTGGCTGTGTTGGGAGGGTTCTTATATGCTGTCGGTGGCTCTGATGGAACATCTCCACTCAACACAGGTTTGTTCCCCTCAAAGGCAGTCTAAAAGCAGCACATTTTCCTGAGGGGACTCTGCCTAAAGTATAAAAAGTCCAGGTTGTCCTATATTTTATTAGAAAAATATTTTATTTTCCCTCTAAGAGAATACAGCTCACAGTTCCTGCAGCCATGAGAATAATACATTCCCAAAGTGATTCTTTCTTCCTCTGCTTACCAACTGCTAGAAATATGTAATGAATAAAAGGAATACTTTCTGAATATAATTATTTCCCCTTCCCCACATCCCCCACCTTGCCTCAAAAAGAAAAAAGATTATAATTAAAAATAAAACCTTAGAGGGCAGGGGTTTTAGCTCAGTGGTGCTGCACCTGCCTCACCAGCACAAGGTCCTGAGTTTGGTCCCCAGTACTGCAAAAAATAAATAAAAAATAAAACCTTAGAACTAAAAACTGATTTGTTAACCCTTTTATTCAGAGATAATGGGTATTTTTCCCAAAGGATATTGTCAGTATGGCATTCCCATCAGATTCATTGTCGCATATCTTGTCTCCTCTTCAATGGCTTAAACTGCACTAGATTATAGGCAAGTGTATACGAGAGGACAGAATTGTCTGGCTGTAAATCAGTAGTGGTGAGTAATACCCTTTAAAATTATATAGTCGTCTAATTCCCCCACTAAAGCTAAGGAGTATGAGGCTGAGGGTTTTGTAGCTAATTAGTCCTACAGCCAAAACTAGAGCTCAAGCTCCTTGACTCCAGCACATGCCCTTCCGCCATAGCATGCTGTACCCAGAGGAAACCAGCCCTGAGGAGAGTAACGTGATAATCTTCCAAGGGCCTGCAAGTCCTCCTCAGAAGCCCAAGTCAGACTGCTTGTTGAAAATATGTATTATCACGGTGGCTATAAAGAAAACTAGAGGTGAGAGGCGGTGGTCAGTTGGTCACTCCCTGGGCTTTCTCATCCCTGCAGTGGAACGCTACAATCCTCAAGAAAACAGATGGCACACCATAGCCCCTATGGGGACCCGGCGGAAACACCTGGGCTGTGCGGTGTATCAGGACATGATCTACGCCGTGGGAGGGAGAGACGACACCACAGAGCTCAGCAGTGCTGAGAGGTACAATCCCAGGACTAACCAGTGGTCTCCAGTAGTGGCCATGACATCCCGGCGCAGTGGAGTAAGTGCCCCACTCCTGAGCAACCAGCGCTAAGATGCTCCAGTCTGTAAAAGATAATACACTGAGGCAGTGAGGAGGTGAACTACTAGTGCCTACCTTTTTCTTTTTCGTTTTCAGTTATTTCATTTGATGCTATTGGGATGCTTTTAGGCAAAAGCTTCCTGCTAGTTTGTTTTGGGTTTTGTGGGGTTTTGTTTTGTTTTTTTTTAGACAGGGTCTCACTATGTAGTTCAGGCTTCCTTGAACTCACTATGTAGTATAGGCTGGCCTCGAACTCACAGCATTCCTACTGCTTCAGCCTCCTGTGTGCTGGAACTTCAGGTGTGCACCACCACGCCTGGCTCCCACTAGTTGTTTTGTTTGTTTTTTGAACACAATGTTTTTCAGGTTGGCCTTGAACTATGTACACCAGGCTGGCCTCAAACTCGCAATGATCCTCCTGCCTCAGCCTCCAGAGTGCTGGGATTACAGGCATGTGCCATCATGCCCAGTTCCTCCTGCTAATTTTATACAAGGAAAAAGAAAAACTGAAGCAGAATGAGGTGACACAGACCTCTAACCCCAGCACTTTGGGAGGCTAAGGTGGAAACATCACAAGTTCAAGGCTAGCCTGGGCCATTTAGCAATTTACTAAGACCTGTCTCAGAATAAAAAATTTAAAAAGACTTGGGGATGTAGTTCAGTGTGAATGCCCTGGCCTCCAGCCCCTGTACTCAAAAAAAAAAAAAAATTAGAAGAAAGAAAAAGAAAGAACTTTTTTATTGCTTTTAACTCCAGTAGTTAAATATCTTATATCCATTTATATCTTTAATTAGACAATTTTTTTTTTGGTACAGGGATCAAACTCGGGTCCTTGCGCTTGTGAGGTAGGCGGCAGAACCACTAGACAATTCATTTTTTATAATTTATCTTGTTTCACTTGCTTCTCGGGAAGCCATCTCCCCCTATGATTCACTGCCTTATCTAACTTTGTATCTGTCAGAGCTAAGTATACCTATGTGACATTGTGAGTGATATCCCAAGTAGTTTGCATGCTAATATAAATACGTAGGCAAGAACACACCTCTGCCACTCTCGGGCTGGGGAGTCTGTCCCATCCGTACTGCACGCCAGGTGTCCCTGACCCACGTCATGTCCCATGAGTGTCACCTTTTGACTTCCCTGGGCCACACTGAGTTAAGAGGAATTATCTTAGGTTGCATAAAATGTATAATATGATTAGTATAAAGTAACAAAACTTTCCTTATTTAAGAGTAACTTATTAAATTATTTTACAAAATAACATAGCAAGTAATAAGGGATTTAGCTCAGTGGTTCCACAAGCGCAAAGTCCCGAGTTCGATCCCCGGTACCAAAAACAAAACAAAACAAAACAAAAAACATAGCAAGTAACAATGCTGTTATGAGTAGTTGCTGGTTTTACTTGCCAGGTCACACAAGCTCTTGATTTGGATTTGACTGCAGGGCAGCTGCAGGAGGCAGAGTCAGCACTGTGCTGCGCCCTCCCCGCACAGCACTCTGGTCCCCTACACAGTCTGTGCTTGAGCACCACGCAGACAAGTCAGGAAAAATACAGCTAACAGTCACATAGTAGTATTAAGAGGTTATGACCTTGTGGGACCTCATTCCTAGCTGTTCAGGGCCACACACCCGTCTCGACTGTGAATGACCTGTGACTAAAGGACTTCCAGGTGGAGGATAGAATTCATCCATCCTGGAACATTTGGCGCAGTGAAATGGACTCCATTAACCACTGATCACACCAGCCATCTTTCCACAACAGGAAGAAGCAGCAAGAGTAACCAGAGTCTCCATGACCTGAAGAGAGAAGGGAATGAGTTCTGATTTGCATAAATCAGGACACGCTGCTGGAAGGTGTCAGGAATCAAAGCATTCACATATCTGTGGCTTTTTACTACTGGCAACTAACAACTTCTGAGTCACATCCCTGTTATTTTCACTGCTACATGCTGTTGATTAGATTTTCACTCAGCAAGTATTTATTAATTGCTTGCTGTGCAGAGAAACCAAAAATGAGTAAGGTACGGTTCCTCTCAGTGGGAACTCAGTTCCCCCTTTAGTGAAGGAAATTGAAATGCTTACAGCTATCTATCGTAAATAAGTCCTGAAGTAGTAGTGTATGTACTAGAGGAGAACGTGGGAGGATCTCCTTAGTGCTTTGGGGCAGTAAGAAGGCCGGAAGCAGTGAAGAGCTTAGCAGAGTCACATAGAAGCAGTGTTGTGAAGGAAAAATAAGGTTTTCTAGAAGAGGGATGAAAAACACTAGCCAATCAAGCAATAACACATGCTGACAGGGCTTTGGGAAAAAAGGGATCCATCTCCACTGTTGTTGGGAGTGTAACCTGGTACAATCACTGTGGAAATCAGTGTGGAGATTCCTCAGAAAAACTAAAACTAGAGGTTCCATTTGACTCAGCTATTCCCCTCTTTGGTATTTCCTGAAAGAATTAAAAAGCATTGGACCACAGCAGTATATACACACCCATGACTATAGCAGCACAGTTTGTAATAGCTAAATCTTGGAAACAGCCCAGATGCCCATCAGTGGATGAATGGATAAAGAAAATGTGGTTTTTTTATACAATAGAGTACTACACTATCATAAAGAAGGATAAGCAAGACATTTTTAGGTAAACAGATGCACCTTGAGAACATAATTTTAAGTGAAATAAATTGGACACACAAGTTTAAATATTTCATTGTTTCTCTTCTGTGAGAAACCAAAAGGGTAAATAAGAACCAAAATGGATGATAGATACTGGAAAGTAGGAAGAAAATGTTCAAATCGAAAAAGGACCAAGGGAGGGGGAAAGAAGGAATGGAAAAGGAAACAAAAAGAATAGAAAAAATGGAAACAAACTTTTTTTTGTAAAAGGGGAGGGGAAGAAGAGTTGAGAAAAGAGGGATGAGGAAAAAAGAATCAAGATATAGTATGTACAGGTACAAATTCCCTGTGATGAATGTGATCATTATGTTTATCAGAAGTGTACCACTTGGCCCAGGGATGTAGCTCAGCGGCACAGTGCCTGCCTAGGAAATGAGAGGTCCTGAGTTCAGTTCCCAGTATCCCCCCCAAAAAAGTGTACCAATTAATTTTTTTAAAAACACCCACCAGGGAGCAATATGTATGAAAGTATGGAAGAGTGAAAAATGTATGATCTGTCTAGAAACTAGCAGTTAATCAAAGAGTGATGACATGGTTAGATGTGTATTTTTAAAAGGGAGTTTTAGTAGCAATTTAAAAAGTAGATTAGGCGAATACCAGAGGACATTAGAGCAGTTTGGAGTTTGTTTGTTTGTTTTTGTTTATTTGTTCATTTGTCTCTTGTGTTGCCTGGGCTGTTCTTAAACTTTGGGCTCAAGTGATTCTCCTGCCTCAGCCTCCTGGATAGCTGGCACCACAGGTGTGTATCACCATACCAGCTTAGGTTGGAGGTTCTCACTCACTCCTAGTGAATGCTTTTTCTGAAATTTAAGAAATTGGGCCTGGGATTTAGTTCAGTGGTTCCGCCGCCTGCCTCACAAGTTCAAAGTCCCGAGTTCGATCCCCAGTACCAAATAAATAAATAAATAAATAAATAAAATTTAAGAAATGAATGTTTTGAACTCTGTGTATATATTGTAATTGATTATGTAATTTTATGGTCCCCCATAATTTCATATATTTTTGTTGTTACTGTTTTTCCTCTGTGTTCAAGTAAACCCGAATGTAAACACCATAAAGAATTAAAGAACTTTATCTAGAAACCCATGCAGAATTCCCCGTACTGTAATTGTCTAGCATCTTCAGCAGCGCCTGTGTCTTGGTTCCATAGGTTGGTCTGGCAGTGGTCAATGGACAGCTCATGGCAGTAGGAGGTTTTGACGGCACGACGTACTTGAAGACCATCGAAGTTTTTGATCCTGATGCCAATACATGGAGGTAACCTTTAGGCTGTGTTGCAAGTCTCCTCACTGTTGACTTGAAATCATAGCCCGGGGTAGCCCATGACCATAGGAATTGGGGTGGCTGGTGTATTGAAATCCCTCATCGGACTTGGAAGAGGGCTAGACTGACCCAGATTGGATGGCTCATTTCAATTTGATTGCTAAAGTGGCTGGTATTTTCCAAAATTCTCTTTGGTGACTGTCCAGTCTTAAAATTAGAGGTGGGAAAAAAATGTCATTTCTAGTCCCACCCTGTTCAGCAGAGGATATCAAGGCACTGAAAAAAATGATCTACCTGAGAGAGTTAGAGTTAGAATTAGAACCTAGATCTTTGGCTTCTGAAATGTCAAGGCACATTTTTGTTGCTTTTGAAGGAAGCCTTATAAGCAAAGACAAATTTTTCAGTCATTTTTTTAAATAGTATTTTATTGCATTTTAAAACCTGTTTGTTTTTTTCCTTGCACTTTTATAATCTACTTATTGGTTGTTCTCTTTTGAAATCTAGTAAATTGTGGCAGTCAGCTTTGTAGAGCAAAGCTACCTCTTATTTAAAAGAAATTAACTGTGTTAAGCTTTATACATTTAATTTTACATTGCTTTTAAATTCTTAATTCTCAGGGCTGGGGTTATAGTTCAGTGGTAGACTGTGTGCCTGGAATGCATGAGGCCCCGAGTTCAGTCCCCAGTCCCCAGCACTGAAAGGGAAAAAAAGAAAAAAAAAAGAAAGAAAGCTTAAATGTCACCATGATGGCACATGCCTGTAATCCCAGCACTCTGGGAAGCTGAAGCAGAAGGATCACAATTTGAGCCTAGTCAGCCTGGGCGACTAACTTAGCGATATAGTGACACCCTGTCTCAAAAATAAAATTATTTTTAAAAGGGCTGGGGCTGTAGCTCTGTGCAAAGGCCCTGGGTTCATCTAAATTCACATAGATGACACTTCCATTTATTTAAATATTCGTAACTTTTATAAACTTAGCAAACTCCTTTTAAATCTTTGAATATTTGTACTTAATCACTAGCTCTAAATCTTTACTTGGTAAAACATTTTATATTAGATTCACAAGACTAATCTGATGGATGCTCTAAAATGCCAAATCGTAGCCAACCCCAGTCTCAAGTCCCTGTTCTGGCGCCAGCTGTAGCGACCCACCCAGCCAGCCCCCAGTCCCAGGTCCCTCCTGCCCCAGACACCACCCATGGGCAGCCAGCCCACTCCTCCCAGCTTTCCCCACCCAGGCGCCATTTGTGGGGGACCTAGACCCACTACTTTGTTCTCCCTGACCCTGAGGCGAACGAGGATGAATGGCAGAGACACTGAGTCAGTTTTAACACGCAGGCATCCAGGGGGTGCTCACCTTAGTAGGCAGAGGAGCCACCCCGCCACCCCCGTCTGGCTCATCTTGCCTTTATTCACCCAAACAATGGTACAAGCAAACAAAGTAACACAAGGTTCATCTGCTTTCCAATGCCATGAGTACATGCTCAGGTGAACAACCTAACCTCAGCTGTCTTAACTTTTCCCTGGAACCTGTAATACACAGTCACCCCTGAGTGCAGCCTTTCTCTTTTGTGCTCACATAGGAGGCCAGTTAGGCCTCAATTCTCCTCTGGCCTCCCACACCAGATGCTCTTAAATGTTACAAGAATTTAAAATGCTAAATATAGTTGGTTCTCAAACTTATTAAAAATTTTAATACTATGAGGTTGTACTTCATAGCTCTTCCAAATTAGTCTTCCAAGGAAGGTTTTGCCTTCCAAGCAGTTAGTTGTTTTCTTCTCAATAAATTGGGCTTCCTTGCCTCAGCAAGGACACCAACTCAAAATGGCTGAGGTTGTACATCAAGCAGAGATGTCAGTCTGAACAAGAGGTCTCAGCAGCAGCCATTCTGAGAGTTTCCTCATGCCTTGACGGACAGCCAAGCACTGCCTTAGTCACATTCTAGAAGAGGCAGCCTCTGAGACCATTCCCACTGGATCCCAGTGAAACATTTTCCAGCCACCTGTTTACGCAACTGTTTTTTTATATTCTTCATCTTTGGACAAACCACAACTCTTATAGATCTTGAATGACTTGCTTTGCATTTTGCATGTTCCTCACAGTTCTATATGGCTCAGTAGTTAACAATACCATAGTCAGACTAATGACAGCATAATACTTTTTGCTCTAACATCACATTTTCACAGCCCTATTCATTAAAGATTTCCCGAGTATTCCAAGCCCTGGGCTTACAAAAGTGAGCAAAACAGAACTCTCTGCCCTCCTGGAACTGGCAGTGTAGTAAGGGGGACCAAGAGTATCATGCCAGGGAGTGGAAATGCTACAAGAATAGCAAGAGAGGAGGGCAAGGGAGCACGTTACCGAGAAAGGCATCACTCTAAGGTAGCATTTGGGCAAAACCAAATACAGCTACGGGATAGATGATGTTAGGTTTTCATGAGTAGGAGCCCCCTACTTGTGGTATATTTACTTCCATGGAGAGTTTTCTTTTCTTTTCTTTTTTTTTTTGGTACCGGTGATCGAACTTGGGTCCTTGCGCTTGCGCAGCAGGCAGTGAAACCACTGAGCTAAATCCCTGGCCCGTGTTTTCTATTTTTAATGGGAATTTTCAGTAAACTTAATCTGGGTAGTCACCCAAATTTATTTTGCCACTTATATAATCTGATTTAGTAAGGACTTATTTTTCAATAACTGTCACTAAGTAGAATTAGTAATGCATGCTGAAGTTAGGTTCATGAGATTCTTGAGGAACAGCTATAGAAAGATTAATATATATTTTTGCAATTATATGTCCCAAACTTAAAGCCAATTTTATCTCACTGCTGATTGAAGATCTAGTATTCTTTTCCATGAAAGCTTTTATTATGACCTTGTTCATATACTGCAGACTCAATGCTGACACTATCTGCTCATACCTAGTTTGTTCCATGCAGAATTCTAGGAGGCTTACAAGAGTACAAAGATAAAGCTATAAAAATAATTGAGGAAGTTCAGGAAGGGAAAATGTAGATGGGAAAATAATACAGCCAGGGCCAGAAATAAACACAACAATATAATTGTTTAACAATTATGTGATTGTTAGAAGCCAGTCTAGGTGTAAAATTCTCATGGTGTTCCTTACTTTTTAAACAGTGAGAGCTTTTTACTCTGTGTCTGAAATAATTCTGGTAATTACCAGCACTCAATGCTGGCTTCTAATCTTTGGAAGAATTATATGAAGTTGAAAATAGTAGTCATGATATAAAACATAGAAACATGTTTTATTAATATCTTAGATCTAGAAGCAGGGCTTTTTCCAGTGGAAAAAATCTAATTTTCTCTGTCTTTGCAGGTTATATGGCGGGATGAATTACCGTCGGCTGGGAGGTGGTGTAGGAGTTATTAAAATGACACATTGTGAATCCCACATATGGTGAACATGTAGGAGACAGTCTTGTATGTGCTTCTCTGTATTCTGGAGACCTTTGACTTTGAAGCTTTGTGCAGTTTGAGAAAACATTAGAACAAATTTTATTCTTTGCTGGTGCCTCAACATATGGAAATACAAGTCTAATGACACTATTTCACCTGCAAGATGCCACCTTTACACAGTAATTTTCAACTTTGTGTAGAAGACTATTTATTTTTTGTTTTGTTTTAATTTATCATAGTGTTTTGGTTTTGGAGTTTTTGCTTGGGCTTTGTTTTTTTGTTGTTTTTTTTTTACTTATCCTTCCTCCCACAAAAAGAGAGAGAGAGAAAAAGAAAACCCAAGCATCACTGGGCATTGTGGCACACTCTGGTAATCCCAGTACACAAGAGGCTGAGGCAGGAGTACCAAGAGTTCAAGACCAGCCTTGGCTACACAGGGGATTTGAAGCCAGCCTAGACTACATAGTGAGACCTTGTCTCAGAAAAAAAAAAAAATTCAAAGCGAAACTTACTTTGGAAGGTATTGATTTAATTTTGAACATACTGATAAGGCCAGAAGGGCTATGTATAATCTGGTTAGTTCTACTAGACACTCCATCCATCCAACTCCACTACTACAAGGATTAAGGAGAAAGATAAGTATGAACAATGTATTAGCTATTCATCATCCTTGGACTACACCAGAAGACTTGAAAATGTAAAAGAAATAAACACATCATACTAAATAATGAAGGCAGAAGGAATATCAAATCAGTAAAAGCAGGGCTCTAATGCTACAGTTTTCTTCAGTGGAAGCTGATAACTTGTTTACTTCTAAATGACCTTGTTTTCACTTTAGTTAAAATCTTTTTTAAAAATATTCCCATGGAGTTTCTGCTAGTTCTAGAGTTCTGCTCAGTGCCTCTGTTAAAACAGCGTATGAGTCTCATTCGCTGTCTCAAGAACCACCCCAATATAATCATATGCAGCTCTGCAAGAGTTTTTGCTCACAATGTTGCTGAGTGAAGCAACTTTCCTTCCGATTTCCTTGTCTCTACCAAGGAGTAGAAGGGAGACATATCCTTTCCCCGGGAGCCAGTCCTGTACGCAGTTTGCGCTTGATGCTCCTGCCTGGTGCAGCTGAGGCTTACTTTCAATAACAGCCTCCTAGAGAATGAAGTCTTCACTTCATGAATAGCACATGTTGCTGAGTGTAAGACCACTTGAGGCATTTTATCAATATCTAGGTTCTTTTATGCAAACTATGTATCATTATCTTCATTCTGTAAAGCCACTGTTAATTCTCTCAAATTGCACTTTCTGATGAAAAGTTAAAAATTGTAAGGAAATAAATGGTAACGATTTAGTGGTGAATTTTTTTTTTCTTCATTATATTCATAGATCAGTTCTTTTCAATGCATTTTGCAGGAAAACCTTTAAGACTTTAACTGCAACCAAAAGGAATAAACTTCACCTCCCTCTCCCTTACAAAAAAAATGTTTGGCAACTTTTGTGTTTACATTTAAAGATCATTTGCACCTTTTTCAAGGGAAAAAAGTATTTGGTAAATAATTGTTTACATGTATCATTTATGCTTTTTCTAGCATGTATAACTTTTTAAAATAAAGGTAGTACTTACCATGAAATTTTTTTGATTACTGCTTTTTTTAATGCCTGTTCTTTTGCTATTTAATTTGTATTTTTTGGTTTCTGTATCATTTATATTGATTTTATGTAAGGTTATAAGTGCTTGGGCTGGCGAGCGCAAGGTCCTGAGTTCAATCCCCAGTAGCAAAAAAAAAAATTATAATGGGTGGGGATTTAGCTCAGTGGTGTCATCACCTACTATGCAAGGGCAAGGACCTGAGTTTGATCCCCAGTACCAAAAAAAAAAATTATAAGTGCTTTCAGTATAATGGGATAAAGGGCTTGCCCACTAAAATTAAGACTTTATTATATATTTCATATTACCTAACCCTTAAATATATTTTCTCATCTGAAACTTAGAATCGTAGAATCTTGAGCTGGATGGACATTGATTTAGTCCAAACCCATTTATTACAATGATCTAAGTCTGAAAACGAAGGAAATCTGTCATAATTAATGATAGAACTGACATTAGATGTCTGTTTCCCAAACTCTATTCTCTTTCTCCTTCTGTGGGGAATACAACAGTCAGAATACAAAAAGGCCACTACATGGCCTGGACCTAAATATAACAAACTGCTATAGTTTGGGTCTGAAATGTGGTACAAACGGTGTACCAGAGACTATGTGGACACAGGCTTTGTGTAAGCAAAAAGGCTGATTTCTGTCTGAGTGCAGACAGGCTGAGATCGAGAAAGATGTCAGCAATTGGCCAGAGAAGAAGTTAAGTTTTCATAGGGTTTTGGGATGGGTTTGTAACCCTAAGGAACCTGGGATGGCATGCTTGGGGTCAAAGTTCCAGTGACAGTCAGTGCAGGTGTGTAGATAATATCAGACTTTTCAGTGCTGGGGAGATTGTGTCCTGTCCTAAATTTTCTTTATGGCCATCTGTTTTGTTTACTGAAGGCAGCATGGCCCTTTAGTGGTTTCCTGTTGGTTGTGAAGGGCAGTATGTTTGCTGAGAGGGTCCCACTCAAATGAGGCATGACAAAATGTCCCCCAAAGTCCTGTGCTTTAGAAGCTTGGTCCTCAGACAGTGTGCTATTGGGAGGTCATGGAACCTTTAAAGAAGTGGGGCCTACTTGGAAGAAGTTAGGTCACTGGGGGACTTCTTTTCAAAGAGGATACTAGGACCCCTAGAGAAAAGGAAAGAAATAACCAACAACAAACAAAATTCTAGGAATTAATCTCTCCATTAGTCAGAAAGTTCCCAGGGAGAGCAGTTGGTATGCCAGTGATTCAAGAGTAGAGAAATGGGATTGGGATGTGGCTCCCTGTAGAGTACTTTCCTAACACACAGAAGATCCTGGTTATGACACCCGTGCATCTTGCATATGCAAATACACACACACACACACACACACACACACACACACAAACAGACCCAGAACTGCAACACTGGCCAAAGTTTTCATTGGCAATTGTCTTGGAGTTTTTCTGCTCCTGTGCAGGCACTGCAGTTTTACTATGAAATGAAATGCAGTTTTACTATGAAATGAAATATATTCTGTAAAAGCCATAGCTATAAAGTAGAATTGTCTATTAATGTATGTGCATACCAATTTCCACATTCTATAAAGTTGGACCGGGCATGAGGACACACTCCTTAATCCCAGCACTTGGGAGGCTGAGGCAGGATTGCCAAGAGTTTGAGGCCAATGTGGACTATACAGTGAGTTCAAGACCAGCCTGGATTATGCAAGACCCTGTCTAAAAAAGAAAAAGGTTGGGATGGGGATTGGTCAGCATTCATCTTCATTTTATAAATAAATCCACTGAAGCCTGGAAATCTTAAAATATCATGATACCATAGGAGCTGAACCTCCTCCCACAGAGGCAAATTCACATCCCAATTCCCATTCCTTTTTGCGCTATACTACTCTCCACATTCCTATTTCTAATATGATTGTTTCTCAGTTCTGTTGCATAATGTTCTACTTTCAGATATTTGCCACTGCAGATACTTTTTCTGTGAAAATGAACAAGGCCTCCTGAGCAAGCTGTGAAAAGCCTTTCAAAATTTGTTAGCCTAGGCTGGGCCTGGTGGATGCACACCTGTAATCCCAGCACTCCAGAGGCTGAGGCGGGAGGATCCCTGCAAGTTTGAGGCCATCTGAAACTATAAAATGAGATCCTGCATCAAAAAAGTGAAACAAAACAAAAAAATGCATTAGCTTAGCAAACAAATGGGAAAAGAAAAAGGGGGTAAGGAAAGAAATAGGGGAGAAGAAAGAGATAAGCAGGAGGCATAAATGACACAGTAAACCTGTGTATCACTGCCTAGTTGTATATGTAAGTAGTTTGTGACAAGTGGCTTTGTAAATTGCTCTGAGGGCTCTTCTATTCTGTAAATGATTGAAATGACAAAACTCTTCAATTGTCTTCTATGTTCTTAGTAGTGATCTTTCAGTTATTTGGCCACTTAAGGTAGTATTAGAAAAAAAGTATAATTTTATGGCAAGGATGTCTGCATTTTTGCCAATATGTCAAAGGAAAACAGCACAAATATGGGATAAAATTATATATATTGTTGGTCTACCTGTGGATATGTCTATGCCAGAAAAAATGCAGACCCTCTGATGCATGGGCATTCTTGTGTTGTTTTGAAATTAATGAATGGCTTATTATTGGAACACCACACATTATATACAGGTAGTTATTATTCGAGTATACCCCTATCACAAGAACTTTTACAAAAAGAAATGTATTTTTGAGAACATTATAGCCAAATCAAAACTTTTTGCCAGTACAAGCAAAAACACAGCAAAATCATAAACTTTGAAAATTGTTCTGGTGTAAAATTCGTTAAATGGACTGATAAGAGAACTATTTGTATGTGAACAACTTGTAATAATCATACATGTACACTGATCACCAGAAAACCTGGAAACATATAACCTGATCTTGTCTCTGATTACAATAATGCAAAGAAATACATTGATTTAGCAGACCAGACGTCATATTACAGTTCCTTAAGAAAATATTTTTTTTAGGGCCAGGGATTTAGCTCAGTGGTGCCACCACCTGCCTCGCAAGTCCAAGGTCCTGAGTTTGATCCCTGGTACCAAACATATATATATTTTTTTAATTGGAATGAATAATGTTAACATTTATATTTGAGCAGTAATTATTCAAATTCAAGCAACTAACTAGATTTGGTAATTTATGGGCTTTTTATTAATGTTATTAGTAAAACGACCAATAAAAGTGGTTAGATCTGTTTGTACCACCAGTGGGTCCAAGCCATCCAATAGGACAGTCATGTATGTATCACCGGTGGTTCAAGCTGGCAGGAATGTGTTAATCCACTGATGAATTCACAGCTGGATATGCTGTAGGAGGTGGGAGCCTAATGATTCCTTGGTTCACGAATTTAATTCTTTCCACGATTCCAGTCCCAAACCCTGGAAAGAAACTATCCACTCAAATCCTTCAATGTGGAGGAATTTTTTGAACTCATTTCTCTTTTTTGTGTTTTGATATGGCGGGGGGGGATTCCTTTTTCTTTTTTGATGTTACTTTTACCTAGTTTACTTTCTTATTCTTTAATTGGACATTTTTATCTCTTTTCTCTCAATTTCTTTCTTTTTAAAATTTTATTTCTTCTTCCATTTTTCCCTTTTCCTACCTTTCCATTATTTGTATTATTATTATCCTTTATTAATTTTTAGCTTTTTAATGTTATCATTGATTTCTTTTCTATTGACATTGGTGTTATAGATTTTGCTTTTACTGGGCCTTTACTGTATATATGTCAATACCTGGTTTGTCTTTGTATCAACGTTACCACTAATGATTTCTACTGTTTGTTTGTTTTGTTTTTTTGGTACTGGGGATCAAACTTGGGACCTTGTGCTTGCGAGGCAGGTGGCGGAACCACTGAGCTAAATCCCTGGCCCTGATTTCTACTGTTAATGGTATAGTTGTTGCTTTTGATTGATTTTTCACTGTATGTCAATATGTATCTGTTTGTCTTTGTGTCATTACTGAAGTTTCTTTTATACTCTCAGTGGTGGTGATCAAGTCCTCAAAAGAAAGCTGGAAACTAATAAGACCTTTGAATAAAAATGGAAGAGATATCTGTAATGGTTTATATTTAACATGTCCCCAAAGCCTCATGTGCTCCCAGGTGGGGCTTTTGGGAGCGACTGGATTGTGATTCTGGATCATGGGCCTGATAACTAGATCAGTCCACTTATTGGATTAGCATAGTTCTGGGTGTGGCTGAATGAATTTACTGAAGACAGAAGACCCACTCTGGGTGTGAATGGCACCAACCAAAAAGCTTGTAGTCTGGATAGAAAAAAAGGGAAAGGGAGGCTTGCTGCTGCTTCCTGCCTGCCATACCGTGGACTGTTTCTCTCCTGCCATGCCACTCTGCTGTGGAGCCAGCTTGTAGAGGACTGTAATATTGATTATGCCCAAAGCAGGCTGTAAAGAGTTAACCCCACAATTGGCTTCTCTTGAGAAGTGAGTCTGGCTGAAGCCTATGTGCCAAGGTCAGAGTAGCTCACACCCAAATTCTGTTCCCACAACTAAACCTTCAGACTGGAATAGAAGGACAATTTTCTAATTACAATCATATATTTTATCTATTCTGCTCCTAATTTGAGAATGCTTTGTCTTGTCCTTTATGAGCCTTGTTTACATTAATTTCCATAGAAACCACACATCACCTTTACCCCAATTGATTGCCAATAAAAGTAAGTGCCTGGGACTGTCCA